AGTTCTCTTCATAGAGTAGGGTTCCTACAGTTCTCTTCATAGAGTAGTGTTTCTACAGTTCTCTTCATAGAGTAGGGTTCCTACAGTTCTCTTCATAGAGTAGGGTTCCTACAGTTCTCTTCATAGAGTAGGGTTCCTACAGTTCTCTTCATGGAGTAGGGTTTCTACAGTTCTTTTCATGGAGTAGGGTTCCTACAGTTCTTTTCATAGAGTAGGGTTCCTACAGTTCTCTTCATAGAGTAGGCTTCCTTCAGTTCTCTTCATGGAGTAGAGTTTCTACAGTTCTTTTCATAGAGTAGTGTTCCTACAGTTCTCTTTATAGAGTAGTGTTCCTACAGTTCTCTTCATAGAGTAGGGTTCCTACAGTTCTTTTCTTAGAGTAGTGTTTCTACAGTTCTCTTTATAGAGTAGGGTTCCTACAGTTCTGTTTTCAATACCGGTGAAGTTTTTTTTTTATAATTTACCATGATATTCTCATAAAAGATAAAATGTTGGAATGAAGAATCCTGGAAGATTTGCAGCATTTTTCTCCGGTAAACCCAGAAAATCTGGGAAAAACGACGAAGACGTGTATAGTGTACCAGGGGACGCGTACAGTAGGTCAACTGGACCAAGAGACATGTACAGTGAGGTTGCTAGAATCCGTGATATGTACAGTGTTCCAGGGGATGTTTGTAGGAAGGAGATTGTCAAGATAATAAATAATTCACATATAAAACGGTAATTATGTAAATTTGAAATAACTCATTTTGTTTCGTCAATATATAAAGGATGAGACTTCACAAGACGATCGTACGGTATTTACACCGTCTGTTTCCTTATAATATAACTCCTTGCTAATGTAAACAGGTTCAGCTCTTTGCCAAAGCATTAAATAAGCCATTAAAAGACGATATTCAAGGCAGAAGATTAGTTAAGCTAGAAATCGTCATATTTTGAAAGTTTCTAGTCGTCTTTACAGTCTCATCCTTTGTGGTTAATCCTGTAGTTCAACATCAAACCTACTTCATATCTTTTCTTAAAATTTCTTGAGTGAATAATTGAATAGGTAAATGTGTTGTGATTAATTCAAATTGGTATACTTAAAAAAATATGTTTTTTAAAAAAAAATTTGGGGACATTCATTCAGTATTATTTATTCTTTAGGTCAAGTGTCCGTCCTTGCGTTAGTTAATCAATAATTTATGCATCATACATGTGTGTTATTTAAGGCTAAATAAACAGTTTCCTTTTTTCACATCTTTTATTCACTGTTCTCTGTACAGTTTACAATTACAAAGCATTTGCTAAATACAGTTCTAGGTGAAAAGATATCATTTATTTTCAATTTTTATTTCAAAGTGAAAAATGAAGCTTAGAGGTTTTATTTTTCTTTCAAATTCTGATAAAAAAATATTCTTGCTAAATTTTTACATTTCAAGCAGTAAAGATTTTATTATTACAGGTGTTAATGAGTTAGAGTGAACATCGTTTTATCCTGCTCTTAATTTTTAAATTCTGTTTGCAAATGTTCCCCCCCCCCCACTCAGCTTACAGTACAATCTGTACATACACAGCTCATGTTAGTTTTGCGTTATTTTGTTCCTTGAGAAATGATCCTGATGTGTTCAGTCGAAACATGTCGTGTTTACGATTTACAAACTCTCATGCAAGTACAGTTCATCCAATCATACATTAAAAATTATAAACTTATATGCACATCCGTTTATTTTCATTCTTCAACCCATTTTTTTCTTTCTATTTTTTTAAACTTAGACAAATATATTCAAAAATTTGTTAAGGAAAATGTTTTTAAAGGTATCCTATGAATGCTCTCTAATTTTTTAAGAGATTACAATAATGTGTTGGTTTGTCAGTTTGAATTAGGGTAATAGTTATTTTGATAATTTGGCGTTCCTAATGTTAAAAATATCGTCTTTGTTTTTTTTTTGTTTTTTTGAGATTTTATATTTTTTAGAGATGTAATTTAAAATTCTTAAACAAAGTCTAGCATTCTGATATTTTCGATTGGCAGGGTAAAGAAATACTTTAAATGTAATATACTGTTACAGTGAAATTTGATACTGATACACTGACAATATTTTACAGAGACTATATATATTATATAACTATGGATATTATTAAACTATAGATATATAGAAAAGATTTATATTTATTGATAAATCGAACTCTAATGTGTTAACATAGCTAAGCCGAATGGGTCCTAAAATTTTCAACTATTTATTATATAATTGAAAAATGAAGAAACTAGATTTAAGAGGCAAAGAAATTAAGTTTTTGGCATTAACTCAAATTTTGTTGTCCTATATCTTATGGTGTAAACTTCTGACATTTAAAACTTAAGACTATCTGATATAACAGAATATTTGGTTTGAAATATCATAGGTCTACGGCGTCGAACTGCAGAAGATATATACTAAAGGTATTAGAAAATCAGAAACTGTGGCAAAAACTCAATTCTTGAAATATATATTTATGTATTTATGTGTTTTAATATACTTTAATTTTTTTTTGGTGAAGGCGTTTAATTTAGATTTTCCTCAGCTAAATTTAGATTTAAATATGTGTCGATCAATTTGAAGAATCACTAACGTTTAATTAAAAATCTGAAGCCTAATAAAATTTGTTTAAGTATTAATGTATACTAAACCAAGGTGGAAAAGTAAAACTTAAATTGCATATTGAAATAATTGTTTAGCATTTGAACAATGTTGGTTAATTCATGAATAACCTAGGAATATGCAAATTTAACGAAATCATCTAGCATACCAATAATTGTTTGCTTCTATAATTTTCTTAGTTTTCATTTGTTTAATGTCAATACTTAAACTTCACAATACACATGGACAGATAGATATAATGACTGCAACTTTATACATTTCAATGAACTTAAATTTGAATGAAAATATCTATTTTCTGTGACTCTCTTAAATTGAATAATAATATACAAGATAACTACGTCATCTTTGATTAAAGATTTAATTAGTACTATTGTGAGTCGGACATACCCACGCTACAATTGGAGGGTCACTTCTTCTGCCTTAGTCTTAAAATAAATATTAGATTAGGTTGAGATATAGTTAGACGAAGCTCCTTATTTTGCGTACAACAAAGAACATCCTTTTAATGGGTACTCAAGTAACTTTAAATGACTCTCCATTTATTGAATGGCATATCAGATTCACAATGGTGCCCTGTTACATATATCTGAATAACAATGTGGAGGAAATCATCGTCTATCTAACTTCTATTTAAAGAAAAATACACTCTACACTCTACAGTTCCTTTAATCAGATTTTAATTTATAAATATATTTTAGGAGCTTGAGTCCACGTATTCGTGAGGTGTCTCGGAATTTCGAGGATATGGGTCGGGTCGAGGAGAAGGAGAGGTCGAGGAGGGTCGAGGATGGAAGAGGAGGAGGAGGAGGAGGATCAGATAAATATTCTGAATATAGACCTAGTTTATCCAGATCTAGTTCTACAGTCTCAGACGAAGGAATTATTATAGGTAACATTTGTTTGTCTAAAGCGTATACAGGAGTTTGTTCATGTTGACGTTTTAGAAGGGGGGGGGGGCTGAATCCCTCTGAAAATCATAGTTTACACTTATCCAGGGGGATTATCTCCCTAAAGCACCCTCCCTGTATTGTATACGCTCCTGACTAAAAAATGTGACTTAAACTTTGGAGCTTTTTACCTTCTTAAACTTTAGAATTGTTCGAAAAATAGTCTGTTTTTCTACAAATAGTCATGATTTAGAAAAAAAGAACCTCATGCAAATTTTGGCGCCTTGCGTAAATTTTCCATGCATGTTGGTGAGAAAATATTATTTTTAATCATAAGCTGCACAGTGCACAGTTTTCTAAACTAAAATTTTGGATCAGCTATTATTATTTTTGCTGCTGGAGCAATCTGAAAATAAAATTACCATTTAAAAAAACACTTAAAGAAAGTCATGTGTATTGTGTCCCTACGTACAAACCTTGCCCAGACCACAACATTTTTTTTTCAATTTTCTTATTTAAATCAATTTGTGAAATCTGTTTATAAAATCATTTTGAAAATCAGTTTGTAAGATCGCCTTTTTTAGCAAAATTGTTATCTAACCCACCTGAGCAAAAAAATTATACATTTTTGAGAGGAAATATTTTTTTCTTTGGAGTAGTGGTGATTGATAAAAATATCCAAATATAAAGATTCCAAAGAAAAATTTCATGACTTAAATGTTTTAGATCGGAGCACACATAACAGCATAACACAGGATACACTAGAGATTAAACTCCTTCTACTCAAACTTAGAAGAATTCTACAGGAGGTAGGGGATACATTGTATCATGTAGTAGAATACAGGATACAGTAATGGACAAATTGTATCATATTGAAGGCTGCAGGATACAGATACAGATACGAAGGAGGATATAATTATGGATTATGTATACATTTTGACAATTGTCACGAAGTAGGATGGACGGAACTGATATGAAATGGTTATATCAAATTGTATCATTAAGTAAGATACAGATTTAGTGTAGGATACAATTATAGTTGTATCATTACGTAATATAATCTACAATCTACAGGATGCACAGGTTACTGAATACAGATGGATATATTTATTTTAAGGTCGGATTGAGAATATGCGGGGTTGCCCGCAAAAGATGAGAATTCAGATATGGCTTTTCTTAACACTAAACAGGCTGGGGGGATGGGGTGGGGGGGGACGTATGACGCCTCCCCTGAAGTTTTTTTTTTTGCTCTAGTACTCTTATTTTTGACACTATCACCGTGACATTTTTTAACTTTTAGTGAATAGAAATTTAAGTGATTTTTTTGTAAATAAAATTTTTTTATTGCAAAGGGCGCTTCGTGTAAAAAATCTAAAATATCCCACAACTTCTTCACGACTGAAGAAACAGATCTAGAAACAATATTTTTGAAACGCCCTTGAAAAATGGATGTAGAAGCATGTGTCACATCTTGTTATTTTTTCCACATTTTACCCTTTTTTACCATTTTTTTTAACCCTTCTTAGCAACCAAACTACCTGGCTTTAAAAAATTGTGCTATGAACATTTCAACTTTATACCTATTCGCTAAGGCCTTTTTCTAGGAGGGGGAAAAACTCGGGGTCACCAATTTGGCTACGCTCAATTTAATAAAACCGAAGTTAAATAATTACTTTATTAACTGACTAAATTAAAAATCTAAATTTAAGAGATCAAAAAATATCAAGGTGACGTGGCAGAAAATAGAGTTCATCTTGCCGCGTCTGAGTATCCGGCTTCTCTCCTCAGATCGTCTTCCGCCACATTATATTCTTTTATGTTGTGCTCTCTTAATTTATTTTCGTTTTGTGACGTTTTTTGCTATTACACTTTGCTTTTACACTTTGCTTTTACACTTTGCTATTACACTTTGTGTCTATTAGCGGTATGTACGAGAACGTTTTAAGTTTTTTTGTGACAAAATATTTTATTTTGTTCGTTTTGTTTTACAGTCTTATTCATTTTATGCTTTGTTATGTTTTTTTCCGTTTGTTAGGTTTTTGTTATTACACTTTGTTGTGTATGACAATGTGAATAGATTAAATTCCCTTCAAAAGTTGTAAAGAAAAGAATGAAAATAATTTTCTCAATTTGATCAAAATAATTATTTTTTTATTTTTTTTTTATTATTGATATTTTGTAGACGGATGATGATGGAGGTCTACCCAGTAATCTACTAGAAACTCTAGCTTTACAGGATGTAGAGGATAACAGGAAAATTCACATTTTATTTATTAGTTCAATCAATCGAGATCATTTCCTTTATTTCCGCGTCAGTTTTAAAAATAGTTTCAGTTTTATTTTTTCCGTCAAATTTTGTTTAGAAAAAAGAAACATAGAGTTGAGAGGGGGGGCACAGTGGTTTAAAAAGCAGATTTCATGGACATCTGAACATAAAAGGCTATAATAGAAACATAGAGTTGGAGGGGTGGGGGCACAGTGGTTTAAAAAGCAGATTTCATGGACATCTGCAGATTTCATGGACATCTGCAGATTTCATGGACATCTGAACATAAAAGCAGATTTCATGGACATCTGAACATAAAAGCAGATTTCATGGACATCAGAACATAAAAGCAGATTTCATGGACATCTGAACATAAAAGCAAATTTCATGGACATCAGAACATAAAAGCAGATTTCATGGACATCAGAACATAAAAGCAGATTTCATGGACATCAGAACATAAAATCAGATTTCATGGACATCAGAACATAAAAGCCTATAAATATAAACTATTTTGACTAGAAATCCGATACTTTACAAAAAATAATGGATGCTTTCCATATTTCGCGATCTTAATAAAAAAATTGAATTAGCTTTTGTTTTTTGAAGGTGATAATTTTTGAATTGGAATCAAACACTTTTTATTAAATGTTTGCGCCTCCATATCAAACAAATGACTCAGCCAAAGCTAAAATTTTTTTTTAATTACTTCCCTCTTAGGCAATGAAAGGCTATGACAAAAGAAAATTTGTTTGTTTTGACTTCAAAAAAAACTTTTTTTAAACCTAAGTTCGGAACTTTTGTACGATCGTTAATCATAAAGTTATGTGTGTGGGGGGGGAAGGGCATTGATTATTTTAATTCTTTTGTTTTCGATTGCTAAATATTTTCTTATTTATTTATCAAAAACGTTTTAGCTGTTACTCTGTTTTCACTCAAGATAATACAATATTTTCCTTAAATTTCAAAACTAAAATTCAGTCATAAATGAAAATTTTTTTTTGTACTTCTGCCTTTCAAAACTGGCCAAAATTGCTGATTTTAATGTGTTTTTTCAAAGTTTGCGGGAAGAGAATCTAGTTCTGAGAAAACAAGTCCTACAACTCAAACAACAGGTATAAAAATATACCAGGCAGGGGAAATTAAAGCAAAACTGTAGACATCAAGTTCAACTCAAGAAATAAAATAACGGATAGTAAATTATTAATTGGGAATTTTCCCAACAGAGGGAACTCAAAAACAATAAAATATTTGGTAGAAATTAAACTACAGATAGAATTTTAAAAACTAGTACTTATACAAACAGCATACATACTGACATTTGGTAAAATGTAAAAAATAAGTTTATGGAAGAAATGAACCGGCATGAAAAAAGACTGAAGACGTAATTCAAGCTACCCTACATGTAAGATTGGGCATGCAAGCAAGTATAACGAAATGTTTCCGTTTTTTAATCTAAATATGTAACTTTTAATCTAAATATGTAACTTTTAATCTTGGGTTCTCTATAAGCAAGTTAATAAACGGATATATCATTTGTGACAGAAAGAAGGAATAAAAAAGATAGGAAAATGATGATATTTTCCTTAGAAATTAAGGGTATTTTTGCAAGTCGAACGTGTCTCTTTTTAATATAATGATTAATCATGAAATCACTGCAGAGTCCAAAACTAAAGAACAAAAAGTTACGGTTTAAATGTTAAGGTTCAGCTAAATCCGGCGCGTGATTTAACCTTAACTTTATTTTATAGCTTAAATATTTAACTCGAAAGAAATCGACGAGGTAAATATTTAACCAAAGGAAAACTTGCAGTCTCTCATCATTTTTTATCAATCAAAATGATAAATCGTTTGCTTATTCATGAACCCATTTAATATATGAGTCTGGTATTAAGTTTAATTAAACCCTGAATTCATTATTTTTCAGAACTTTAAGCTGTAACTTAAATTTCGACTCAGTCTCTTTTTCTAAAATTGTGTATATTAAGGTTGAAGAGAAGGATAGGAAATTAAAAAGTTTAAATCGTCTCCTTCCATCCAACTCAGCAAATACTAACAATAATCAGACTAGAAATGCAGCAATTCAGGTAAGTTTTTTGTTTATTTTTTTTTCGGAAAAGTTTTATGTTTTTAAGTTTAAAAACATACATTATAGTTTGCTTTTTCGGAAGTTGAGGTTAGGGAATAATGATGTAAAAATGGGAACTCTTTAAGATCGGAGAACTTTTAATTAAATTCAGCATGACAAATTTGACATGTTGTTTTTTATGTTATGGACTAAAGTTCTTATCCTTTAAACTAAAAAGTACTAGAAATTAACTCTGTTACTGAATTTATCCTTAATTAGATATTTTTTATTGTACAAGTAATAAAGCTTACAGCACGTAACCAGCTTTAAATTTTTACAATTAAAAGGAATGTAAAAATATGGTTTAGTATGCACGTTTTATTTGATTTTATGAATCATAGATTAATGTAAATTTTCGTCCCCCCCCCCCCCATCCTACTCACGCCCTCGAAGTTAGTTACAAGTTACCATATATAGATAAAACGTGCGTTGGCGGAAACTTTTCAAATTTTCAGCAGGGGTTCAGATTGATAACAGCCCCCCCCCTGTCTATACCTTGTCCCCCCTGGTTAGTAAATTTGATAGTTGATATCAAGGTTGAAGTTTGAAATTTATTTGAAGTTTGAAGAAGAAAAATTAAAACAAGACAAATTGCCCCTGATTTGAAGACCTAATGCTACCAGAATATATTAGATAGAGGGGTGAGGGGTATATTGAATACTAATTAATCGAAAAAGTTATTTTTGTATAAATGATCAAGTAACTGCATGACTAGCTTACTTAGCACATGATTGAATATATGTTGTATATATGGTTATACGCTTCATTAATACACAACATACAGAAGCTATATAACTTTACAGTTAAACTTTCATTTACTATGAGTTTATAGTTTAAAGGGGTGGTTACTATTTACGAACCTATAAGAATTTCGAGTTAAATACTTCAATAAGATTTTGCATATTTTGTTTCACATCTTTAATATAAATTCATGGCTAATTCGTTTCATATGCGGCGATAAACGTTTTTAGTGTATCTGAATGAAAATAGCAAAAATGCATTGAACTGATGAAGATTAAAATATCAAAATATTTTGATAACTAGTCAACTTGTTTACATACTTAAAAAATTACTTTTGACATTTTATGTTCTTTCTCTGAAATTGATAAGGTTTAAATACAGTGTTTAACTCAGTGTTAAAAATGGTTTAAACTCAGTGTTAAAAATGGTTTAAACTCAGTGTTAAAAATGGTTTAAACTCAGTGTTAGAATGGGGCCAAGTGTTGTTTTGGAACTAATATCCCCTGAAATATTGAATTGTGCATGAAAACTTTATAAAAATAAGTTTGTTTAATACAATATGGGAGGAGTTAATACCTAACTTATTAACATATATATTAAACCTAAGTTCGGAACTTTTGTACGATCGTTAATCCCTTTAGAAAGCAATGACCTGTACATGTGGTCCGGCAATTCCTTCTATATAATAAACCAAATTGGACCAGATTGGCTGAAATATTTTAGGGAACCCATGGGCACCCTGGGGGTAATATAGACTAAAAAAAAATGTTTTTTCAAAATTTCATTTTTTTTATTTCACGGGCAACGCCGGGCTGTTCAGCTAGTTAGTATGTAAATAAGATAAAGGATAAAAATTCCGACCTCTTAAAAAAAAAATATAAAAATTTAAGAAATTCTATTTTCCTTGTGATATATATTGGTACTAACTAACCTGAATGGGCTAGCCATAATCCCGATCGGTTAATTAAAATAAAAAGTAGAGATCAAGCCTGATTTAATCTGGAGATCAAACCATTCTTAAGTTTTCATCTCTGGTAATGTTGTAGACTGACCGGCAGCGACCTGTCTCCTGCGGTTCAGTTGCACAGGACGGTTTAATCAGGTAGACTAACTAACCAATAATACTCTTCTATAGTCTTTATACACTTTTCTATCTTAAAGGGTCTGCTGCTGTTTAAAGAGGGCATGTCCGAGGCACAAAACTGTACCCTTTGCACAGATGTCTTGATCAATAATGTGTATGCCACCGACTTTTTTCTAAAGATTGAAAAGCAGAAATCCGTAAATTACTCTATCCGAGAAACCACAATTGAAGATAATTAATATTTTAAGCTTTGCGACCCGCAAAGCTCGTCATCAGTTTTTAAGGATATCGTTGTAAATCAGACATGCCACTCTTTTTTGTAAGGGAAGAGTCACTGCAAATATATTCTTAACACGCTCAGATAGTCTCCGTCTAGTTGTTTGGCACCCCCCACCCCCCCCCCCCCCCCC